GCAGGTACTTATATACCCCTTTGAGCCCCTGGGGGGATATTTCCCCCTTTTCTCTGGGAGAACTTCATAATCACTCTCAGATGCTACTCAATCAGACCCCTAGGAGTTCAGGAAAGGAGCTGTGCCTGTCGAAGACAAATACTCTAAAATCTTCAGAATCTTGGACTTTATCAGCACAAGAAGGGTACCTTGGGTAGGCACAGAGGGAAATGTTTGCCAGGCAGTGTTATAAATCTAACATGGGCTGCTTTAACGGCATGGTGTTACAGTGTTTCCTCAAGTTAAGCTTAGCCAGTGTCTTGCCTGGTGACCACGTGGCCGATTCCTCCACATCCTCCGCCTATCCTCCAACGCTGGCCACCCACAATGTGGCTTGGAACCCAGGTCTATCTGCAGGTGGGATTTGATCGGCTCAGACTGGGGCTCTCCCAGGACAGGGGCTCCTCTAAGGGATGGCGTGTCAGCTTCCTATGCTGCTGGAACGAATTACCACAAACTTAGCCGCTTAAAACAACACATACTTATTTTTTTTTAATAGTCCTAGAGGTCAGAAGTCTAAAATCAAAGTGTCACTAGGGGAACAACACACACTGAGGCCAGACTGTGAAGAGTAAGGGAGGAAGGAGAGGATCAGGAAAATAACGAATGGATATTGGGCTTAATATCTGGGTGATGAAATAATCTGTGCAACAAACCAGCATGAATCAGGGTTACATATGGTAACAAACCTGCACATACACCCCGAACTTAAAAGTTAAAACAAAAACCAAAAAACCATGAAGTGTCAGCAGGGCTGTGTTCCTTCTGAGTCTTCAGGAAAGAGTCTGTTTCCTTTCCCGTTTTCTAGAGATCACCTGCATTCCTCAGCATGCAGTCATTCTCTCTTCTAAGCCAGTAAATACCCGGGCAGCTTCTCTTACCCCTGACTTCCTGTCTCCCTCTACAGGGACCCACGTGATGACATCAGGGCCACCTGGATGATCCAGGATGATTCCCCCACCTCGAGAGCCCTGCCTTAATCCCATCTGCAAAGTTCCTTTCCCCCTGCAAAGTCACGTATTTGCAGCCTTTGGCAGTAGGGATGTAAATGTCTTTGGGGAGGGTAGCATTTTTGATTATCACAATGGGTGGAGGGAGGAACACAGGTGGCTTTTAGAGAGCAGCCAGTTCTGCTAGGTTTTCTGCGCAGCATGAGGCAGTTCGACAGCAATCAAGAATTGCCCAGATTCTGCATGACTTTGTCCCACTGGATATTCACAGAGGCCAGGAACCCACTTACAGTGATCCAAGCAGAAAGACAATCTTAAAACATCCACTAAAAAATTGGGAGAAGGGCAATGATTTCACATACTGGGCATGTTCCAGAATTGCAGCTACTAAGGTGGAGAGCTGACTTTGATGAAACTTATCTAAAAAGTGGTTGATCAGCCAGGCGCGGTGGCTCGCGCCTGTAATCCTAGCACTTTGGGAGGCTGAGGCGGGCGGACTGCCTGAGCTTTGAGGCCAGCCTGGGCAACACGGTGAAACCCCAACTCTACTAAAATACAAAAGAAATTAGCTGGGCATGGCGCCGTACACCAGTAGTCCCAGCTACTTGGGAAGCAGAGGCAGGAGATTTGCTTGAACCCGGGAGGCAGAGGTTGCAGTAAGCCAAGATCGCACCACTGCACTTCAGCCTGGGTGACAGAGTGAGACTCTGTTCTCTATTTAAAAAAAAAAGTTGTTGATCCTTTTTGAAAATTACATCCACAATGCCCCATCTGCATATGAAATCCAATTTGTAGCAACACTGCTATACCAGTCTTCATCTGTGGCTGACACATCCATAGTGACCAAATACAGGAGTGAGTATCTGACCACTTCACTCGGCCTTCTAGATATACTTGTTAAGGTATCCCTTTACTTTGAATTATTTTTCCTCCCTATGACAGAGCACTATGCTGATTTGCCTTTAATTACGTCTATATGTAGGTTACCGAATCATGGATTTCATTTCATGGCTCATAAAGGTGAGGACTGAGAATGACTGGTGTTAATCTAACCTATGGGTTGACAAACTTTTTCTTAAAGGACCATGTAGTAAATATCTTAGGTTTCTGCAGGCTAGGAGACAAAAATTAATATTATACAGGTGCTTATATAATCATTAAAGCTGTAAATAACATATTTAGCTTGCAGGCTATGCCAAGACAGCTGACGGGTGAGATTTGACCCCTGTTCTGCAGTTCGCCATTCCCTGGTCTAAGTCAAACAGGGCAGTTCCCAGCCAGTTCCCAGCACCTGGTTCAGTTACACACAGACCTAAACGCATGGTTCTCAAACGGAGGCAGTTTTGCTCCCAAGGGGACATTTGACGATGTCTGGAGACTTTTTCCATTGTCAAGAATGGCACTGGGGGTTACTGGGAGGGAGCCGGGCACCGAGGCTCAAGCCTGTAATCCAAGCACTTTGGGAGGCTGAAGCAGGTAGATCCCTTGAGGTCGGGAATTTGAGACCAGCTTGGTCAACATGGTGAAAGCCCATCTCTACAAAATATGCAAAAATTAGACAGATATGGTGGTGTGTGCCTGTAATTCCAGCTACTCAGGAGGCTGAGTAAAGTGAATCACTTGAACCTGGGAAGTGAAGGGTGCAATGAGCTGAGATTGTGCCACTGCACTCCAGCCTGGGCAAGAGAGTGAGACTCTGTCCCACAACTCCCAAAAAAAGAATAGGGTTTGGGGGTATCCTGTTAGCATCTAGTGGGCAGACAGAGGCCAGGGATGCTACTTAACACCCTACACTGCAAGGAACAGCCCCCGCTCTGCCACACACACAGAATTATCCAGCCCCAAGGCCCACTGTGCTGCACTGAGAAAGCCCTGCCCCAGGCCAAACTGGGCCAAGGACCTATGAGGAGAAGTGTTTTAGGACTTCTGGGAAAGAGGGTCCCTCACTCTTAAGAGAAGCACAGAAGCAAATGTCTTTCACCCCGGGGGCCAGTGAGGCAGTAAGTCTCCCCATAATACTGCCATCCATCTGGAATCTATTCATGAAGTGCCCGAGACAAGGCCAGCCACGGGTGGGTACAGTGAGGGAAGGGGCCATGCTTTTATGCCAGGGTTGGCCCAGTGAGGGGCCTGGGACAAGCTCGCCGAGATCTCCCCCTGCCACTGCCCTTTCGGCCATGTGAGCCAGTGGACTTCCACAGTGCACAGGGGTTTTCTCTTACTTTCAGCCAAAAGCTTCTTAAAAGGATCCATCTTGCTTTGTCCAAACTGCAGTAACTCTGCTTCACAAGTCACATAAAGAAGGAGTCAGCATACTTTCTTCCGTGAAGGCCCAGACCGTAGGTATTTCAGGATTCATGGGCCAAATGGTGTCTATTGCAACTACTCAACCCTCCTGCGACCGCAGCCGGAGACAAACGCCACCAGTGACTCTGTCTGTGCTCCATAAAAACTTTACTTTTTTTTTTAGACGGAGTTTTGCTCTTGTTGTCCAGGCTGGAGTACAATGGCGTAGTCTCAGCTCACCACAACCTCCAGGTTCAAGTGATTCTCCTGCCTCAGCCTCCCAAATAGCTGGGATTATAGGCATGCGCCACTGTGACCAGCCCTAAAACTTTACTTTCAAACAACAGAATTTTAATTTCACATGTCAGAAACACTACTACTCTATTAAAATATTTTTTCCAACTATCTAAAGATGTAAAAATGTAAAAAAAAAAAAAAATACGAGTTTTCAGGCCACCACACAAAAACTGGTGGTGGGCTGGGTTTGACCCATGGGCCATGGAGTGCGGGCCCCTGACAGAGAGGAAGCCTTTCCAAGTCATGTTTTGTGCACAGGAGAACTTTCTTAGTGTTTTCTTCCGCACATTTTACAATCTGAACCATAGACCAAGTTTATCTCTTTGATTCAAAATGTAAACATGGTTTTTACTATGCCTCCCAAACAGTTTGGTAATGAAAACCAAAAAAAAAAAAAAAAAAAAAAAAAAAAAAAAAATCGGGAGGGATTTAGATTTGCATAATATAAGCATTTACAGCAGTATTTAAATAACTGCATTTGCTGCTCACATAGCATATGGTTTGAGAATGTTTCACTGTATCTATTCAAAGAGAGAGGCATCCATTGATCACAGATGGTGATATTATTTATGATGAAAACTTACATTAATCCTGAGCGCCCCAATTATCTCAATTCATATAAATAAAAAGGAACAGCATTCCTGTTCTTTATGATGGTCTTTTTTCTCAAACATAAAGAGCTTGTTTTTAATACAGTCCACATATTTTCTTTACACTAATTACAGACAATTTTAAAAAACTCGTATGTACCATTGAGCCATCGGCATTTTTCCCCCACATGTGAGTTTCATCTGCTTGCCAGTTAGAATCTGGAGTTTTGTTTGTTTTTTACCAGCATTTAGGATGATTATATTAATGAGAAGTCTTAGGGGACAGAGTAGAAAATGCTTTCCTGATGACTGAGTAAACAGAAAGAGAAAAGAATACACCAGAAGATAAAAGCCATTTTCTCTTTCATTTTATAGCCTTTAAGTTGTGAAAAGAACATTTAAAAAATAAAAATCAACTGAGCTTTCCACTGGGGAATAGGGAATTATAAGGGAGAATCCTGAAAAGCCAATGGGGAAAAAAATTCCTTAAGCGGAGGGTGACATCTTTTATCCCTGTGACACCTGGATTGTGAAGACAGGCAGAAGACAACAGGGAAACCACCCATCAATGCCCTGTGGGTTGGGGTGCTACATATTATATATAGACTTCTTTATACTTTCAACAACCTCATGCATGAAGTCTTTTTATTATCTCCAATTTTCACATAAAGAGACTGAGACCCAGAGTGATTAAGTAATTCAGCCAAGGTCACACAGCTAAGAATTCTGAAATCGGAATTTGAACTCAGGACCCCTGCACTCACTCTTGTGCTATCCCGTCTCAGAACATAGGTTTTATTTTATGGATGTTTTTATGTTACTCATTTCTTATTTTTCACATCAGGTGGACAACATGCCAACATCATAACAAGGTTTAAGGGAGACACGTCTCACACATGAGCGTCAAAACCCAACCATCACCCTTATGAACTACAAAAGGACCCAGGCTTTACTTCAAATCCGCATGTCACTCTGGCTCCGCTCTTTCCTATACAGAGAGATGTCGGTGCTTGGTAGACACAAGGGTTGCCGTACCGTCACTGGCTGATGCTCAGGTCAGTCTAGAGATGCTGAAAGCCAGCTTGCAAGTACATACAGTTAACATTGAGGAAAGAAAGATAGGGAGATGGAGCCCCTGAATCCAGCAGTGCCTGAAGCCGGAGGCCCCTGTATTTTTCCCCTTCATGGCCTGGGCCAGCCTGAGATGCCTTCCTGTAATTCTTAATTGACTGACGCCCAGCATTCTCTCTGATGGAGGAGGCCGCTGAGCTTATTGTGGTTCTTCTTTAATATTGCACCAGCAAGACATCCATCTCGGTCTTGATGTTAATCAGGGGGGAAAAAGTCAACAGAGGGATAGGATAAGGAATGATCTTCCCTCAATCCACATTCACTAAGAGGCCTGCCTGTGCCCCACGCTGCCTTGCTTCCGTAGGAAGCATATGAATAATTAAGCCGTGTTTATCAAGCTCACGGGAGGCTGTGCAGAGGGGAGGTTACCTGTTACAATAGGGAAGGGCTCAGATGGGAAAAAGTCCACAGGGGCGTGTGACATGACAGGTGAGAGCAGCCGTGCACCCTCATCGCTGTTTAGAAGCACAAGTTGGCCATGTGAGGAGAGAAGCGAGAGGACTCCACGCTGCAGGAGTGCAAGGTTGGAACGCAGCTGAGGGAGGAGCACTGGGACCCCTGTCTTGGAGGAGGAAATGTCCCGGGGGAAGGGCGGGTGCAAGCCACCTCCACGGGTACCAACTTGCCAACACGCTGATTTCGAATTGCCAACCTGTAGTAAGAGCAAAAAGCAGACCCACTGTTGCTCTGTTTTATGGTGGTCTGTAAGTTTCTCTATGGAATACAGACCCCTTCTCATGACCTTTCACTGCTGCCTGCCTTGCTACAGTGCTGTTGCTGGGTGCTGAAGGCCCCTGACGGTTGCAATTGTTCCAGAAAGATGTACCTTCCTTTGCAAACTCACAAACCACAAAAAAAGGCACTCAAGGGAAATAGAAGGGACCATGTTAGGGCGCACGGCGAAGCCCCATCCAGAACTCTCTCCCCCATGGGACGAAAGCCTTCAGGTTAAGCAAACCTTTGGCCCCTGGGCACAGGTGGAGACACAGCATGCTGGAGGAAGGGGAAGAAACCACCTCTACCCATCAGGGAGTGGCAGAGAGATGTCCTGAGCCCAGCTACTAGAAGGCTCCCCAACCCAGGGGCCGGTGAGGCTCGGGGGAGCAGCAGCCGCTGGTCAGAGCTGCCGATGTGGCGGGGGCACCTGATTGGAAGCCACTGATGCCTCTGAGTGCCATCCGCTGACCTAAGATGTTCCCTGATCACCCTAGGGTCACTCCCATTCCTGAGCACAGGCAGACGTGCTTAAGGTGTCCACTATGGCTTTGCCCCCAATTGGAACTAAGGTAAGTGCCTGTCTACCGCAAAGTGCCTGAACATAGCAAACCCAGGAGAAAACGCTGTGAAGACAGAAAGAAGAGACCAGACCGACGACAGGGCCCTGCAGAGAGGGTGGCTCTGGTCCAGTCCCCCGGGCTTCGATCACAGCCCGGCCACTTCCTAGCTGTGATGTCGGGTGCTCACTTAGCCGGTCTGTGCCTCTGAGCCCATCTGTAGAAGTAACTTCATAACAGCACACTCCTCTTGGGACCATTTTGAAGATTAAACAAGTTCCTAAAAGGGCTCAGTCATGCCTGGCACATGGTAGGTTCTCAAAAACATTACCTATTAATTATTTTTTAACTTTAGTTCTGGGATACACATGCAGAACGTGCAGGTTTGTTACACACGTATACACGTGCCATGGTGGTTTGCTGCACCCATCAACCCACCATCTAGGTTTTAAGCCCCACATGCACTAGGTATTTGTTTAATGCATGTGAGTTTTTGTAATTCTCTCCTGTTGCCCCCCAACCCCCACAGGCCCCAGTGTGTGATGTTCCCCTCTCTGTGTCCATGTGTTCTCATTGTTCAACTCCCACTTATGACTACCTATTAATTCTTTACTATTATTGGGACGCAGCTGCATAGAAAGATCTCCAAGACATGCTACTGGGTGAGAACTAAGTTGTAGAGCAATGTCCATTATGTAAAAACAATCACAAGTATTTATAATAATTATGTGTTCTTTGTCGTTGTCCACCCCCCACAGAACTTTAGAGAAGCACTACTCAGAGCTTATTCAACAGATCCATGAACTCACTAAGGACACAGCATCCATGTGTCACCAACTCTACTAAAGGGCTTCATGCCTACGATCACAACAAAGCTGCTACCCATCCAGCCATTGCCTCTGAGTTTCAGGAGAAACAAATTAAGGGAAAAATGTCCATATTAGGTAAGTCTATTTACTTAACCTTCTTTTTTTATTGGCCCAGGTAACTCTCTCAGTGAACATCGGTTTATATATTCGTGTCATCCTGGCTCATAATTAACACTACTACAAGGGGGTCTGGGAAGGGGACTGCAGTTGGTCCCCAACTTAGGATACTGCAACGTAGATTTTTCTACTTTATGGTGGTGTGAAAGTGATACCCGTTCAACAGAAACTGTGCACTGAATGCTCAGACAGTGTTTAAAAGGGGAGTTTCCCTGCACAAGCTCTCTTCCTTTGTCTGCTGCCATGTGAGACATGCCTTTCACCTTCCGCCATGATTGTGAGGCCTCCCCAGCCACGTGGCACGATGAGTGCATTAAACCTCTTTCTTCTGTAAATTGCCCAGTCTTGGGTATGCCTTTATCAGCCGTGTGAAAACGGACTAACACATCCTCTTTAAAGAAGTGTGTATTTCAGCCTTGCATGCACTTAAAGATGGCTGTGTGCCAACAGTCAGGCCGTGAGCTACAAGAAGAAGTCGTTAGGTGGGGCTTCAAGGAAAGCACGTTAAAAGGAGCACAGCTGAGCCATTAACAGGTCCCTCTGCCCATGTGCCCTTTCTTTTCAGCCCAATTGCAATGCTGATCTGATACTAGAGATGCAGCAGCCTTTTTGTGACCATGAGGCAGGGAGCCCATGCTGAGGATGACTGAGTGGAATAACAGCAGGCACTGGGTCCCCCTTGGCATCTCAAAGCATCATGCCAGCCTGCACCACCAAACACAAAACTCCTTTCCTTCTTCAGCCCAGCATCTAGCGACACCTTCCTGCCACAGGAGGAAGCTAAGAGATGTTGGATGCACATAGATTTATATTAATATATGCCCAACACTGAAATTGGAATGCACACTCCTCCCAAACACTGGATGATTAAAGACAAAATTGATTCTGCAGCAAAATAAGCAAGGGCTGTTAATTCGTGCGCCTGTGGTGGTGAAGTCCACTGCCTGTCAGTTTCCTCTCAGCAAGGATGCCAGGGTTTTAGGAAGGAGAGTCCATTTTATAGAATAAAAGAGGAAATCCTGAGACGGCGTCTGATTGGCAAGTGTCCTATGAAAATGGGAATTCTGAAAGTGGGGAGACACTTAGTCTTCACGTACATTTGACAGCCCTGGATTGGCTGGAAGCGAGCAAGGTAGGAATTGGGTGATATTTCAAAAGAGGGAGATTGTTCAATGTTACAGGCTGACTGTGGACAGTCATTTCCTAGAGCCCATGGGGTCAATCAGGCACTATTTTAAAGCGAGGACGCTTAGGATAAGTTGCATGCCATGATAGGCATTTCTCAGGACTTTTTGTTTTGCAAGAAAAATAAAGTCACAACTTTGTCTGAACCACCCATTTTTAGGTTTCTGTAACTTGCAGGTTCCTGGTGACATTGTTTTTGCACCTTGATACATCTACGCCTCAGGCCAGAGACCATGATACAGCTCTTAGTAAGAGAAACAGATAAATCAAGCTTGTGTAACCCACGGCCCGCAGGCCACATGTGGCCCTGGATGGCTTTGAATGCAGCCTAACACAAATTTGTAAAGTTTTTAAAAACAAGAGATTTTTTTTAAGCTCATCAGCTATCATTAGTGTCAGTGTATTTTATGTGTGGCGCAAGACAATTCTTCTTCCAGTGTGGCCCAGGAAAGCCAAAAGAGTGCCTGGATACCCCTGAAATCATCTACTTTTGTATAAGAATGTTTGAATATCCCCTGCTTGCCAGTCTTTCCTGCCCACCTCCTCCAGGAAGTCTTCCTTGATATCCCTGGCCAGCACTGGCCCTTCCTTCTCCGTGTGTCTCCTCCCTATCCTTCCCCTGGACCACACACTGTGGTCCTTCATGACTTTCTGGGGTCAGGCTCTCTCACACTCAAATCGTATTTGAGAAACTGGAATATCAGCTCTTTCAAAGCAGGCGGGCAGTCGAGAAGGAAGAATATGCTTTTGCATCAGGCATGCTAAGGTGCGAATCCTCACTTGCTAACTAAGCTGCCTGGACAAGTGGCTACGCCCGTTCAGGTCTTTCTTTTTCTTTTCTTTTTTTCTTTTGAGACGGAGTCTCGCTCTGTCATCGCCCACGCTGGAGTGCGGTGGCATGATCTTGGCCCACTGCAACCTCCGCCTCCCGGGTTCAAGCGATTCTCCTGCCTCGGCCTCCTGAGTAGCTGGGATTACGGGTGTGAGCTGCCACGCCTCGCTAATTTTTATATTTATAGTAGAGACAGGGTTTCCCCATGTTGGCCAGATTGGTCTCGAGCTCCTAACCTCATGATCCACTTGCCTCAGCCTCCCAACATGCTGAGATTACAGGCGTGAGCCACCGTGCCCAGCTGAGCCTCTCTTAATGAATGAAGCGGAGTGAGAACTCACCTCCCCCCAGGTGCTGCTGTAGAGGCTTATTAAAATCCCTACAAGGGTACCTCAAAGCGCGGAGCTCCCTGTCTCCATAGAGAAAAGGGTCTGTGTTGCAGGCACACATCTCTGAGACAGAGAGAAAGAGAGAGAGAGAGTGAGAGAGAGCGAGAGAGAGAGAGAGCGAGCGTGCGTGCACAGAGAGAGTGAG